TTATTCAATATTCTTCAAACACAAGCTGATGTGTGGAACACTTTTTGTTTGAGAGAGTCTGGTTGTGTTTTCCCTGTTGGTGAGGGAAATGGTGATTTCTTTGAAGAGGACTTTGGAGGTCAAAAAGTTCGGGTCAATATCCCTGAGAGTTCTTTTGACGAGCTCACTGGAGCTGCTTTAGACTTTGAACAAGTTAAGCAGGGAATGAAAACTGAGGTCCAGCAGCTTGAACGACTTAAGGTCGGGCGCTGCCTTGTTGAACGTGACGGCCGGGCACTAGCTAAGGAAAAGCAAGTCACGGTCTTGACCTCACGTTGGGTGTTAACCCAAAAGACCTCAGAAATCGTTCGGTGTCGCCTTGTAGTGCGAGACTTCGCTACGGGAGGGACCTCAGCTTTGAATGCTGGGATCTACGCTCCAACGTCGTCGTTGGACGGGCTTCGTTGTGTGCTCGCAGTTTCCGTGGTGAAAGATCTCAGTTTGCTGACTGCTGATGTTTCTGTGGCGTTCATGCATGCGCCAGTGGAAGCTGAAGCTTGTGACTTAGTGGTACTTCCGGCGAACCTCACAATCAAGGGATGTCGAGTGATCGCATGGCTAGGGAAAGCCATGAATGGGCTCAGGCGAGCCCCACTGTTGTGGTTTCTCGAATTGCAGCGGGTGGTATATTCCATGGGAGGTCAAGACACCTTTGAGAATACTTTATTCAGGTTGCAGACGCCCAATGGAATGCTTTTAGTGCTGGTGTACGTCGACGACTTACTCGTCGCGGCTGAAAGTCCGCAAGAGGGTGAATCGTTCTTGCAACAGTTGCAGAAGATTTGGCGAATAAAACTTACTGGAAGGATTCCAGCGCTTGAGAGAGGCGTCCTACAGTTTTTGGGGAGAACCATCTATCGAGAAAGGGATGGGGAATCCACCTTAAATCTGGGGGTAAGTGAAGCCTATATGACAGGGGTCATCGACAGTTGGCACGAGAAGTTGAAACCGAATGAGACACCGCCAAAGCTGGAAGAGATCTACAAAGATCGCGAGAAACAGGGTGAAGACACGCCTTTGACAGCGGAGGGTGAAGCACGGTATCGCAGGGTTCTAGGACAGTTAGCGTGGGCCGCTTTGTCTAGGGCTGATTTGTGTTTTTCAGTTTCATACCTTGCGCGATTCCAGTCAAAGCCATCAGGTGCAGCGGAAGCTTGTTTGCGTGCACTGTTGCGTTGGTTGTTGACGCGCCTTCACCGCGTGCAGACCATGCCTTCTCCGGAAGGATCGCCAAGCGTAGGATCGCGAAGCGTTGTTGGTTTCTGCGACGCGTCTTGGAATGTGGCCTGTGTCAGGGGGAGTCTTGATGTTCGAAGGTTGCTGCATTAAGGTGTTTTCTAGAAAACAAGAATGCCCAGCTTTGAGTAGCGCAGAAGCGGAATTGTGCGCGATGACCGAAAACTCGAAGGAGTTGGTGTCGTTAGGCATGTTGCTGGAATCCATTTTGGATGGGATTCCGCTGACCATTTTGGGAACCCCGCAGTGTACAACCGGGACTTACCAGTTGGTTTTGCGCAACGATGCTACGGCCGCGATCAGCATTAGCTCGATGGAAGGGTTGTTGCGACGCGTCCGGCACATTGAACTTGGCGCGAAGTATATTCAAATGCTGGTGAAAAAGAAACGCCTTTTGCTAGAGCACATCCCTGGACTTCAAAACCCGAGTGATGGTTTGACTAAGTCATTTAAGACTAGGGATATGCTGATTAACCTCGAACAGGAGGTAGGTTTGGTGCCAGGACTCGACACAAATGGCTTGTCATGGATCCGTACCTTTCAGCGTAGGCTGCAGTTGCTAGCCGAAGAAGGGGAGATGATGTCAAGTTTGTTGGAAGGGTCGGTAGCACCTGAAACCTGAAACCTGAAATTTTCCGAACGAATTGCATGACACAAGCCTGTTCCACTGAGGCACTTTGCTAAGGAACTTTTGTTTTCGCTTGTGACTCAACGACATTTTGCTAAGGTTTTGAATTCGATAGACGTTGGAATCGCAGGTGACCGCCTGGAATCCAGTTTGCTCCAACTGAAGGTCTTTGAACCTTCCTACAGTTTTCACTTTGTACTGTTCTTTTGTTGCGAATCGGTGGATGTGGACCTTGAGTACTTCTGTTGTCCCGTCTGGATGGTTTGCTGGAGTTTTTCTGTTTTCCGTGACGGTGTCCTGGCCTTTTCCGTCTCGGTTCTTTGGTCAGTCTTTGTCATGTGCGACTGGTGAGCATTGTTGGACGATGTTGACTAGTGAGGTGATGTGAACTCGTTTCGGACTTTTCGTTGTCTGACTGTAATGTCTGTAGTGCACATGGTGCGCAACATGTTGACACTCAGGTTGCAGTTGTTGGAAGTTTTTCGTTTGCATGTCATGCCACGACACGTTTTTGAAACAATACCATGAAACGTGAAACCAGTGAAACTCTCGTTTTTCTGTTTTGTTTTGGAACATGAGGTTTGGTTTTCATTTTTGGTAAGTAGAGTGAAGCCGTACGAAAAGCTGTCCGTCTAGGTAATGCTGGGACTTGGTGTTGTTTAGCTGTTGCTTGGTAGCTCTTGGTGGTTCATGTCATGACAACCTTAGGTTTCGGTGGACTGGGCAAAAAACAAAGGAGCCATTTGTGGTTGCATTCTTGGATTCCAGAATAACCCAATGGTTCTAGAATGAGTCACATGGTTGACACATTGTGGAGTTGGGCATGGTTGTGCAGGTCTGCCTATAGGAAAAACATGGTTACAATGATTCCAGAACGGCCCAATGCCAAGTTAAAAAGGAATGAAATATGTGCGCGTGATACAAGATGTGCTACAAGTGTGCATGCCATAGTCTTACTGTTATTTGCCCTTGCCCAAGGTTCCCGACATGTCAGGTTCAATCAGATCAATGTGACCAACCATCATTCTTATCATAACCTCCCAGATTTTCACATGTGAATAATCAAAGATTTAATAATTAATAAAACCATTTGGGTGGGGCGTCTAATTTATCTAGTCAATCAATTAATCACGTAATGGCTTCCCGAACCCCAGCAGCAGCAGCACGCAGCTGCTTCTTTTTAGAGGGAAGCGGCAGTTTTGCTCTGACACAGTCTGTGGCTGGCTAAGGCTAGGCTACCGGTTACCTACTTGAGCTCACGCAGCGTGGTCTCCCACATCTGCAACAGGAGCGAGGACGACTTCCCGCTTCCGGCGCTGCCACTTCCTGGGTCTCGGTCAGGACCTTGGTCTCGACCACCCTTCTTGTCTTTTTCGGGGTCTGCGCGGATGGGCGGGGGAGGCGTCTGACGCTTCTGTTCGTTCTGGCTGTCAGGGCCCGTAGTGCCCTTCTGCCAGAGGAGATTGCTCCAATGTTTTCCATCCTGGAGACATTTCTTCCAGGAACAGTTAGGGTCCGTGGAATTGTTCCACACCCAGCATGCTAGGTGGAAGGGCGATCGCCGGTGTTGGAAAGACCCGCTCTCGCCCCCCCCTACCTTGCGTTGGCACACCTGGCACTGGTACTGACTGTGCTTCGGGTCTTCCCCTGTCTTGTCGTCCTTTTCCGGAGAAATGACGACCACGGGCTTGGTCCTTGGACCCTTGACTGGCTCAGGAGGACGCTGGGAACGCGAGGGGGCCAGACGCGGAGTCTCAGCTCGACCGCCCTCAGTCTTGTCCTTGGACTTAAAGTCCAGGTCCTTACCCTGACCCTCATCAGGCCCAGCCGCACCTGAGACTGGAGCATCCTCTTCCGCAGCCTTGGCTGCAGGAGGTGGAACACTTGGGGCCCGCAGAGGAACGACGTTCGCCTCAGCCTCGTCGTCTTCCCTCGGCTCCTCTTCTTCAGACTCTTCGTCGTCCTCCTCATTATCTTCGTCCTCCACTTCAACCTCAGCCGCAGCTGGTGCAATTGCAGGTGGAGCTGCCTCGGCAGTCGGGGCTGCAACCAGGACTGGCTTTCTGTTGCTACGAGACCGGGAGCGCCTGCGTCTGGTTGTTGTCCGGTCTGCCTCTCTGATGCGACGCCTGTCACGGTGTTGACTGTCTCGCCTTTCACGGCTTCGGCCACGGTCGCGGCGACGTTGGTCCTTGTTGTCCTTCGCCTTCTTGTCCTTCTTGGTTGTCGTCATGGCCTGGCCGGGACGTGGAGGGGGAAAGGATGTTAGCGCTCCTGAAAGGATGATAACCTTATTTCTCAAAGCAAAATCTTTTGCATATCTTGTGCTATGCAAAAGAAACCAACCACAACAAACAAAATCTTTCCTTTTTTTTTGAAACCTTAAACTCGTTTCCACAACTGCTGTTATTTTCAGAGTTGGTGGTTTGAAGTTTGAGGTTATGAGGTAAACTCATCTTGAAACTTGCGAAACGTGAAACCGTTCCAAGTTAAACTTCAACATGTTGCTCTGGAACATGTGATCTGTTTGATATTTGAAGTCCTTCGGTTCAAGGACTAGGGTAGACCCAAGAGGTTTAGCTGGGGGGTTGTGCGATGGTTTGGCATGGATCCTGGTATTGATGAGTTAGATTCTAATCTTTATCTGTCTTTACCTGATGTTTCAAGAGACGCATTTGATTCTGAAGATCCTGCTTTGTTTGGAGACAATCCGCTTGAAGATGAGTGTGGCTGGCCTCCTAGCCCTGCGCCGACAAGGACAGATGGTCCAGAGCTCCAGATAGGATTTCAGCAGTCATTGCCGAATCATTCAGACGCACTTGGTTTTCCTCATGCTTCAGAACAGTCTACTTTTAATTTTGACAATTTGCTGGCACATGCAGTTAGAGACATTTCAGAGGGTCCTATTCAACTGCCTTGGGAGAGTAATGAGTGGGCTTGCATTTTCGACCCCAACTACGATCCCATGGATGCGCTGGTACCTCAGTTTGAACCAAAACTCAAGGTTCCAAAACTTTTGCATGACAGACCTACTCCTGGGACTCATTCACAACTTGGACATTCTAGCAGTGCGATGGCAGACAAACCCATTTTCCAGATGGCAGTTTCCAGAAGGAAGGATCAGTTGTGGACGGAGAAGCGGGAGTCTGAGCTTCAGAGATCACTGAAGAAATGGTTTGCAATTGTTGGGAATTGGCCTGACTCTTGGCGATGTAAACAGGAGTTGACAGCGTGTGCTACCATAGATGAATCAATGGGGCTTCTTGGTGATTACCTGTCAGGGAAGGCTCCTGCCACTTTGGTGAAGAGGGCTAACAGCATGGTATTTCTGCACAACAAGTTGCATGACCTTGGATATTTTTGGCCGATTGGTGAACCTGACATGTACCGACTTGTCAAGACCTTGAAAGCAGTTGGAACTTCATCCAGTTGTTTAAAATCAGTTTTGGAAGCCATCACTTTCTGCAGGTGCTCCTTTGACGTGCCCGACCTCCATGACATCACGGTGAGCAAGCGCTGTCTAGGTGCGATTGGCGATGCAGTCCCTGGAAAGGTCAAACAGGCTGCTCCATTGACAGTTGCAGATGTCCAGAAGCTGCATGAGTGTTTACAGAGTGGAGACACATGGAACAGAGTATTTTGTGGCGCTGCTTTGTTTTGCATTTACTCACGAGCCCGGTGGAGCGACTTTGTTCATGGGAGCTGCATTAGGCTGGATGTCTTGGAGACAGACGGCAGGGTTGCATATGCTGACATGGAAGTACAGATTCACAAAACGATGCGTGCATCCTCAAAGAGGTTCAAATTTTTGGACCTTGTGGCATCAGGCCAAGGTATCTGTGGGGGTGACTGGATCAAACAATGGATTCATGCTTTGTCTTGCATAGGTGTGGACCCACTCGTCCACTCCCCTGGCAAGTCTCTTATGCCGGCACCAGCAGACGATGGAACGGCTTTGCAACGGTCGCTGGAGAGTGACGAGGCCAGCACGTGGCTTAGACTGCTTTTGGGTGAGTCTTCAAGCAGGTTACAAAGCAACAGATTGATTTCGTCTCACAGCCTCAAAGCAACAATATTGTCAATGGCTGCTAAGAGGGGCCTCAAGCACGAGGACCGTTTGGCGATGGGGCATCACGCACATCCATTTAAAATGGCTGACACATATGCAAGGGATGCCCAGGCAAGGGTCATACGCTTAGTGGACAAGTTGCTTTTGGAAATCCAGTCTGGGTATTTCAATCCAGATTGCAGCAGGGCTGGAAGGTTCAACAAGCAGTGCATGCCTGATCCCAGTTCAGATGTTGGTGCACAGTCTTTTAATGACAGTGATGGTGAAAACTTTTTCATGGAAGAAACGATTGACAAGAAGTTGTCGGATGCTGTGGAAGTGGTTGAGACGCAAACTGCAGAGATTGATGAGGATCATTATACGAGTTCCTCTTCTGACAGTGAAGCTGAAAGCGTTGTGCTTGAGGCGCCAGTCAGGGTCTTCTTGCCCCCACGAGCACCGGAAGGGTACCATTTCATGCAGCACAGGAGGACAAAAACCTTGCACTTGGTGGATGCCAAATTTCCTAGTGGAACTTGCTGTGGTCGATTGTTGGACCAGAACTTTGTCGTGCCCTCACAACTGAGATACGACTCAGCAACATGCCATGTATGCAAAAAGCATAGAATGGACTGAACAGAAGTCGCGTTGCCGAAACGGTGCGACGGAAAATGGCAAGCTTCCACCGATTAGCGGCAATGTGAATGACAAAGTTTGGCACCAGGCTCAGGTTTGAAGAAGCACTCCTTTTTCTATTGTTTCTTGGTCGAAAAGGAGTGCGCATGTATCATGTGGCCAACACTGTGGTTGGCTTTGAAGTTGGACGTATCTAATGGTATGTTAAACATTTCCAGATTTGCTGTCAGCTGTGCGCAATGTTGTCGACATTCAATTTCAATTGACACGTCATTTTCGTTGAAATTCCCCTGGCAGAGTGAGTCTTGAACTTACCTTCCAAGGTGGTGATTGTTTTTGTTTGGGTCAAGTGTGGTTCAACCAACTTTGACTGAAAGCATAGAGGCTGTTTGCGGTTCATCCGAAACGGGTCACTAAAGCTTTGACGTGGAAAATTTTGTTTTGCCTGATGTCAAAAGTGGTTCATCCAGAGTTGACACAAGAGGCTTAACCATGTACATATCTTGATGCCAATGTTATTTTTCTGACCCATCAAGGGTGGTTTCTTTCCACCTTGATTGAGGGCCAACCCACTGCGTGTTGTTGAGTGCAGCATTCTGTTGAGACCGTGGTTTCATTTCCAGGTTCAACAAAGTGAGCGTTTGAGCTCACTGTGAAGAGCTTGACTAAACATGGAGTGACTTAACATGTTTCAGTCTCAGTAATTTGCATTGCCAAACACGTTGAGCCTACGTGCAAATTTGCCAATGCTGAACCAAGATTTTTATTTCAGATTTCAACATGTGAAAGTCGATGTACCATTTGCAGAGAGTTTCAAAACAAAACCTGCAAAGAGTTTCAAAGGATCATCATCGCAGATATTGGTTTCCTGCGCCATGACATTGATAGATTCTGAAGCAGCGTTTAGGCAGAGATGCAATGAGCTGTCAACAGCTACACTGAATTTGAACGATTTGCTGCGAGCGCAGAACATTGCAAGCTTCTCTGAACTGGCGTTTGCTTGTGGGGCACCTAACAAGGCGCCAACAGATGATGAATTCAGGGCCTTCACCACCTCCATTTTGGGTGCAGGATTCACAGCAGGACAGCAGAGTATCCTGCGGCGTATTCATTTTGAAGCTGCCACGTTCGTCCTGTCCCAACTGAAATCTTCTGTGACGGGTGATGCAGCTGATGGAGCTAAGAAATTACCCTTTGCTGAAAAACAAGCAAGGTATGAAAAAGTCAGACAGAAGATCCCTGGTTTCTTGGTGCAAGGCGAAACAGAACCTTCACATGCGTTGCTGGACAAGTGCCAACTCATGTACGACACAGGGGCAGTGGTATGGATATCACCTTCCTTGTGTACCAAGCGAGAATCTGAGGTCCAGGCTGCCCCAAAAGATTCGCAACAAGTGCTACGGATCGAAGCCCAGACCTTGAAAGTGAACACAGAGGGGCCAAAGGTTGCTGACGCAGACCATGGCTCTGAGATCAAACTGCAATGGTGCCTTCAAAGGCGTGGAGTGGCATTTGAGATGTGCGAGCTGGTTTCTTGGGAAACTTCCCAAAAGTGGTTGGCTACATTGTTTGCGGCCTATTCTACAGATCCTCCACCTGGGTTTGCAAGGGTCACTCTTCAACAACTTGTAGCGGCAGACAAAGCGATGTGGACAATGTTGGCCAGAGACATCGCGTCAGTCAAACCTGACATCAATGGGAAGAGGCCATTAGACGAAGCAATTGAGAAATTGATGCACGACCCTCGCATCACCATGTACATGTTAGCCTTGCCCACGCGCAGTCCTGCAGCAGTCGCAGCAGCGCCCAAATCTTCTGGGTCCACTCATGCAGCAGGCACAATTCAGCCGAAGAAGAAAGCCAGGCCTAGCAAGAGGAATCGCACCCAGCCAACTCCTCCTGAAGAGTTGAAGACTTGCTACCAGCAGACGGCCGATGGGAAGCCCATATGCTGGGCCTACAATTTACAGAACGGTTGCACCTTGGAAGCCACGGGACAGCCGCCCAAGTGCCGCAAAGGCGCACATATTTGTGCTTACTGCCGCAAGGCGGGTCACTCCTTTCAGAATTGCAAGGCTGCGCCAGGGAAGAAACCCCAACACTGACTTAGTCATGAGGCTACAATAGCTCCCAGCAACAACAGTGCAGACGGAGCAAGCGGAAGTTGGGTACAAACAGGGCATAGCACTCCAAAGGACAATATGCCTGACAGCGGTTTCACAGGCGCAAGCCATATAGCAACAGAGAGGCCAACGTTGTTTCAAAACATGTTGTTTCTCGAAATTTTTGCTGGAACTTCCAGCCTGACAATGGAGGTTAGAAAAACTAACCTCAGAGGAGTAGCTGTGGACAAAACCACAGAGCGAGCAAAGGGGCCCATTACAATTTTGGATTTGACATTGGAAGAAGACCTCAAATTTTTGGAATTTTATTGTGCAAGAACAACACAATCTTTGTCTAATACATTTGGCTCCACCTTGCGGAACTGGATCAGCAGCTCGTAAACGCAAGCTGCCACCAGACATCTCAGAAAGATTGCGTGAAGCTGGAATCACGCCACCTCAGCAACTGAGATCGGAAGATTTCCCAATGGGGCTGCCGCACATAGCTGGGCTTGACAGATACAAAGTGGAGCAAGCAAATTTGTTGTATGAGGCCACCAAGCGGATTGCAATGCTGGCGATTTCTTTGAACATAAGGGTATCAATTGAAAACCCAACCAATTCACTGTTTTGGAAAACCGACCCCATTGTCGAGCTCCTGCAGTTCCACCCTGGATACATCAATATTTTTCATAACTGCATGATGGGCGGAGATAGACAAAAGCAGACGACATGGTGGTGCAGCGATGATTTCTTCAATTCCTTTAATTTACCATGTTCGCTTGATCATGACCATAAGCCATGGACACCAACAATAACAGCAGATGGGGTACATTACCCAACAAAGGACGAAGCGGAGTACCCGAAATTGTTATGCGCCAGAGTGGCAGCATTACTGGTTGCAGACCTTAAAAGCAAAGGCATCGAGCAACCAGATACGTTTCAGCAACAAATTGGTGAGAGAAGAAACACAGCAGTCAATTCGGTTGCCATGGGATTGTTGCCACGTGGGCAAAAACTTCGTCCTCTAGTGAGCGAGTTTGGTCACTATGTTCAATTTGCGATCAAGCCTGACATGGATGCTAAAATCATTTTACAAGACCTGGTCAAAGGAGCCAGAATCACTGACCGCAAACTTTTGACAGGGGGTGACATGCGGGTTTCCGGGCGAGTGAATGCATCTTTACAATATTTAGGACTTCAAGAAGTTCCAGAAAGCATGAAGGTAGAGCTGATCACCATCGGCATCCCAAGAGAACCTTGGGATTTTGTACACCAAGCTGCCTTGGTAGGACACCCACGCTTCCTACCCTATGCTGGGAGCCCGCATTTGGACACTCTTTTGAAGGCAAATTTGGGACAGAACTGGAAAGACTTGGAACGACACAGACTCTCCTTTTTCAAGCGATGGCTGGCTCGAGCAAAAGAACTTGAGGTGGATGAACGCAACCTCAAAGAGCAACTGAATGAACACGTAAGGCATGTTCTGCAAGGGAAGAGGCTTCTGCTCTTCAAAGAAATTTTGGAGGACTTGGAGTTCCCGGACAAACAGTTGTTCGAGGACATAGTGGCAGGTTTTCGGCTCTCTGGATGGATGAGGGACTCACAACTGTTTTTGAGCTTGCCTAGGCCCCCAAAGCTGACCTTTGAGGCTTTGCTGCGGTCGTCGTTGGGGCTACAGGAAGCGGTTCTTCAAAAGGTTTCGGAACCAGACGACGAAGGTCTTCACCGTGCAGCTTGGACTGAAACTTTAGCAGAGTTGGACAAGCACTGGATTTGGGAAGACAACACTGGCGACTTGAGCGGCAAGGTCATAGCTCACCGCTTTGGACTTCAGCAGGGAGAGAAGGTTCGAGTGATAGATAATTTTAAACTTTGTGGCCTCAATGACTCTTGCGTACCAGAGAAATTCACGCTCCATGGAGTGGACTTCATTGCAGCCTCGTTGATCCGCGCCCTTGTCCTACGCGATCAAGGCCACCAAGTTTGTTTGAAAGGTAAAACCTTCGACCTCAAATCTGCCTACAAGCAGTATCCACTGCACTCAACAGACCGAGCTCATCTCAGAATCGCCATCCGCGACCCGGACTCCAACGAACCAAAGTTGTTTGGCTTGAATTCGCTGCCTTTTGGAGCTACAGGCAGCGTCGCGGGATTCCTGAGAGTGAGCTCCGCATTGTTTTTCATCCTTAGTGCGGGGCTACAGGTTTGGTGCAGTGCTTTCTTCGATGATTTCCCCACCATGTCGGTGGCTGCGCTGTCAAAATCAACAGATCAGTGCGTGGGGCTGCTTTTTGACATGCTCGGCATCCAGTTTGCAAAGGAAGGAAAGAAAAGCCAAGCCTTCGGGCCAGAGATGAAAGCCTTGGGTTTAATATTTGACTTGTCGCAATTTGATGAAGGGGTGGTATACATCAAACACACCCCTGAACGGAGAGCAGAGCTTCTTGCAAAGATCAACAGCATACTGGAACAAGACTCCCTCACCCCGAAGGAGGCTGAGTCATTCAGAGGGCGTATTCAATGGTTTGAGTCTTACCTTTTTGGGCGTATAGCCAACCTCTCTATACACCGTATTGGCAAGAGAGCGCAACAGAAGGGGTCCAAAACCAAGAGCAAACTTGATGATGAGCTGCGCTCCTCCTTGATTTTCTTGCGTACAAGAGTCCAGACCGGCTCACCCCTTCTTTTGACAGCTGAAACGGAGGACTCAGTTTTGATATTTACAGATGGAGCTTTTGATGCAGAAAATTTGAAGGGTTCAGTTGGTGGAGTGCTTCTTGATCACAAGGGCAGACCCTTGCGCTTCTTCAGTGAAAACCTTCCAGCCTTGGTGATGAAGCGTTTTCTGGAGGTTTCTGATAACCCTATTTATCTCATTGAACTTTTGGCCGGCTACATAGCGGCGTTCCTTTGGGGAGGCTTAACGACTGGCAGATACGTTGTCATGTACATCGACAATGAAGCATCACGCTTGGCTTTAATTAAAGCCTACTCCTCAACACCGATGGGAAATGTCATTGTCCAGATGTTTGTATCCAGCGAAGACTCATCCCAATGGAAAGTTTGGTTTGGTCGTGTCTGCAGCTACTCTAACATAGCAGATGCCCCGAGTCGCATGGAAGTTCAAGACTTGGTGACCCGTGGTGCAATGCAAGACAAATGTGCCTGGGATGTGATCCTGCTCAAACTTGAAGAGACTGAGCACAATTTGGGATTGGGGTGAAGGCGGGTGCTCAGACTCAGCCGGATGAAAACCGAATCGCAATATGTGGATCAACCCCTTGGCTTAAAAAAGGAGTGTCTGCATTTGCACTTTTCAGACATGTCATTCCACTTTCCGGACTGCACGTTTTATTTTCGGTAGATATCTAGTGGCGCGTAACCCGTCGTTTTGCGAACGCCATACAGTATATGAATACTGATATAGTCTGTTCGATATATAATTTTAACGCGGAGCGGGAATTTGTGAGTGACCATTCATGCCAGCTCGCTGGTTCTGCGTTCCTTGGTTTGTGTTGTTGGTGGTTTTGCTAGAGGAATAAGTTAGCGCTCCTGAAAGGATGATAACCTTATTTCTCAAAGCAAAATCTTTTGCATATCTTGTGCTATGCAAAAGAAACCAACCACAACAAACAAAATCTTTCCTTTTTTTTTGAAACCTTAAACTCGTTTCCACAACTGCTGTTATTTTCAGAGTTGGTGGTTTGAAGTTTGAGGTTATGAGGTAAACTCATCTTGAAACTTGCGAAACGTGAAACCGTTCCAAGTTAAACTTCAACATGTTGCTCTGGAACATGTGATCTGTTTGATATTTGAAGTCCTTCGGTTCAAGGACTAGGGTAGACCCAAGAGGTTTACCCTCCCACCTACACCCTCTCTTGGGTTCAGAACTTTATTTCTTTACGTGCAATCACGTTCCAATTTTTCACGCGATTTTTCATTGAGCCTAGCCCTCAGCCTTGAAGGCGGGTGCTCAGACTCAGCCGGATGAAAACCGAATCGCAATATGTGGATCAACCCCTTGGCTTAAAAAAGGAGTGTCTGCATTTGCACTTTTCAGACATGTCATTCCACTTTCCGGACTGCACGTTTTATTTTCGGTAGATATCTAGTGGCGCGTAACCCGTCGTTTTGCGAACGCCATACAGTATATGAATACTGATATAGTCTGTTCGATATATAATTTTAACGCGGAGCGGGAATTTGTGAGTGACCATTCATGCCAGCTCGCTGGTTCTGCGTTCCTTGGTTTGTGTTGTTGGTGGTTTTGCTAGAGGAATAAAAATTAATATGTTTAACTTCAAAATTATTTGTAATTTAATCAGCCGTAGACTTGCGAGGACATTGACTAACCTGGAGTCCGTAGACTCGATCGAGAGACTGTGAGGAGTCCGTAGACTTGACAATGAGTCCGTAGACTCGGATGAGTCCGTAGACTCGGATGAGTCCGTAGACTCACTGTCCGTAGACATCTGACGAGTCCGTAGACTCAATTGTCCGTAGACAATGTCCGTAGACATCAGGACAGAGTCCGTGGACTCAAACTGTATAAGAACACGCCGACGCCGACAATGACAACGAAACCCCGCCTGGACTGCAGTCGGCGGAGTCGAGTGGTCAAAAGCGAGCTTCACTGAGCCAGAGACAGCTGGAGACGATTCCCATGTTTCACGTGTGTTTACATCAACTGAGCACCTTGCAACATGACGTGACAGCTAAATTAAAGTACATGTGTCTGCAGTTGTCGCTAATTATTATCGTTCATTAATATCAATTCTGTCTGAAACCGTGGTATTGTTGTGTTACAAACTGTCTTCTTTACTTCGGTCATCAGTTACTAGGTAAAATGCTAGAGCAATTTGCAGAGCTGTCGGTGCAACTTGTTTTTCCGCGGAGTCTGTCCTGAGCCTAGTCTCAGGTTAAATTGGTTTTCTGCCTGGACGACCCCGCTCCTTTGTCCGGGTCAGGGTCTTGGTGGTCTTTGTCACGGCGGGAACGTTCCGGATCGCATCTCACTGGAACTGGAGACCTTTGCTTTTTCGTAGGCTTGTTGGGCAACGCGTCATCCTCCGGACCTGCCTGGTTCGTCGCCCAGAGGTACCTGCTCCAGCATTGCCCTTCCTGGAGACAATTCTTCCAAGGAAGTGTCTCTTTGTTGTTCCAGTAGATATAAGAAGCCAAATGGTGACCTGACCGGCGATGTTGCCACGAGCCGGCAACTTCGACCTTGCGGCCGCAGATGCTGCAGTCATACCGAGCAGTCTTGTCATCCTTCCCACCTTGGTGACGCTTGTCGTCCCACACAGGTTGGTGAAATTTGTGCTTCTCACCATCAGGTTTGTGACCTTGGTCGCGCTTCTCAGACGTCTCACCTTGGTGAGGCGGCTGGTCACCTTCGCGACGCGCCACGGCCTCAGACTCAGCCTTGGCTGGACCTGGACAGGCTGCCTTGGCAGCCTCACTGTCACTGGTCGAGGACTGTGGCGCGGCGCGCTTTGCAGGTGGCTTTACGGGTGGGTCCTCAGCAAGAACCGACTCTTCCTCACCTTCTTCGTCGTCGTGCGACGCCTCTTCTCTCGTCGTAGGAGCTGCAGCGTCCGCAGACGGAGCAGGAGCCGGAGCAGCTTCAGCTGGGACTAGGAGAGGCTTGCTGCCGTGAGACTTGTCAGTCTCCCTACGCCGCCCTCTGTCTCGGCTACGGCCTTTCTTTTTTTCCCGTCTGTCACGGCTTCGACCCCGTTTCTCCTCGTCTTTTTGGCGCTCACCACGGTCACGGCGGTCGCCACTCTGAGAACGTTCAGTGGTCATCAGCCTGGCAGCAGTGGGGGAGGACGATTGGGTTTAATATATTTAATAACTGTGTACCGTGCATCATATACATATTATTTTTTTTGGTGGGTCTAGGAAGATTCGCGATTAAAATAATTTATATGTTTTTTAATTGGGAAATAATGGGTTAGTCGGATATGCAACTTTCACCCTCGCCTACTTGGTCTCAGCGGGCTCCTCCGAGCAGCGGGGTCGCAGCCACAGTCTCAGTTAACTTGAGCCAGAGCACCTGGGCAACCAATAATAAAAATGAAATGTTTCAGTGTGTCACTCAGTGTCAACATCTGAGCGAGACTGCCGTGTCAAATCATGTGAGACACTTGCAAGCACAATTTGACAATGCTTCTTTTTTACACCCCTGCCTTGTTTGAGTTTCACTCAGTGGGTTTGCCGATTGTTCCCCAAAATTGGAGGGCAGCCGTTGGAAAAAAAACAGTCTTTATTATTTATTTAGGTATTTATTATAGGTGTGTCTGACAACAACTGCTGCCATCTAAGGACCAAAACTTTCAGCGGCGACGAACCGACCTGACTTGACTACCTACCACGGAAGTGCGTCCGAACCGTCCTCAGCGTCGTCGTCGTCTCCTGCGTCAGGCGCCGTAGCTTTGTCGTCGTCTTTGGTCTGCTCTTTCTTCCCCTTGGCCTTGGCCTTGGGGCGTTCTTCTTTGGAATTTTCGTTTTTGCGCTTGCTCCCCTTGGTGACCTGCTCTTGCTGCTTTCCTTGGGCCACGGTATCTGAGCGGTAGAAAGTGGAGCCCTCTGTCTGCATCAGAGTGACGACAAAGTTGGTCAGAATCATTTCCACCTGAGTGGAATGTGAGTCAGACAGCGTCAGCCCGAGGTAGCTGACACGCTCGGCCACACAGGCCTTTGCCAACTCTCCCTGAGAAGTGCTGAGGTCCAACCTGAAATGAAATGCGCGAGGAATTCTGATTCAGGATATCATGTGATATAATTCGGGATATTATTTTTAATCGTCAGGCGATTAACGTGAAACATTATTATTTACCCATACATGGGATGATCAATATTTTAGGGTTGATGTGGTTAGATTGCTTCCCAGGCACACAGCTTTCACAGAGTGGGCTTTGAGAAAACTTCTGTAGAAAGAGCAGGGCAACAAAGCTGCACTGAAGACGCTTTCGCTGGAGGCCTCCTTGGCTTTGTTCATCGCGGCGTCAGTCGGCGACACGCACCTGCCTGTGGTGAGCACCTCCTCCTTTTCTTTCCTGCAGGGACAAGGATTCATTATGTCATGCGCTTGGTTCATTATTCATTATTCATTGTGAGAAAAACTCTGCCGGGGTCCTTGTCAGATGCCAAAGGTCCGCTGCCTGCATGGCGGAAATGGTGCCAAAGACATCTCCAAAGTTGTGCCCTGAGAAGTCAGTGTATGGCTTCTCCGGGACCATGGTTGACACTGGAGCTCCGGAGAAGAGACAAGCGGTGGACCTGGAGGTGTAAGCTCCTCGAACCCTTTGCTTGCGGTCCCGAATGGAGGTGTTAGAAAAGATCAGGAGAACGTCTTTCATTTCCGCTTCGATGGCTTGATCCTTTCTGGCCGCAGCCGGTCGGAACAAGGCTTCTGCTTCTTTGCTGGAACGTTCCATGCCACAGTGCACGAAAACCAGTTCACCCTCTGACGGAACCATGCACTCGTCCCCTTTGCGCTGGCCGTTTCTTGCAATCATCGAACCATGCAACAAGATTCTGAGGGCGGACTGGTCGGGAACAAAGCGCTTTCGGAGAAGTGGTCTCTGACCTGGGCCCATGGATTCTCCCAGCGCGTCTAAGTCAAGATGAGTCAGAACGCAGCTGACACCTCCCTCTCCTTGGAAGTCTTTCAAACCACTTTGGCTCACCAAACTGATGATGCCGTCCAAGGTCTTAGGCTGCACATGGAGAGAGCAATAAGTGCGAACAGTTTGGTTGCCAACCGCCTTCCAATATTTCTCAGACCCTTCAGAGTGTTGGCTGGGCGGCTTTCGCACCTCTTGAAGCTCGTCCTCTGCATGGTCCGGGTCTGCAGCGTTTGCGGCTGCCCCTGCAGCCAAAGCTTTTACTTCAACTTCTTCGTCCTTCAAGGTGGCGAGGAACTGGTTCACCTGTTCTTTCACCTGTTCGTGCTCCAGAACTGCCTCTGGAGCTCCCCCGGACCTCGTGGCTTGTCGCAGGCCGTTGTCATACTTCTTGGTGTAAGTCAGGTCCTGCGATGATAGGTGCCAATTAAATTGCTATGTCATGTTTGAAATGATTCAAAAAAGCACAGGACCATTGCAAACAAAAGAACCTGTCCTCCAGCAAGTGAAAGCAGTCAATGCCGGACTTCTTAAGCCGCGCCATCCAGGTACAATCTCCGTCGCCTGAATGTTGCCGGTACACCTCATGGGCAGACAGCTTCTCCTTCAGCAAAGCCCTGTCACCCTCTGCCATACCGCTCTTCGGAAGCAGCACTTCGAAGAAGTGGTCCAAGACCTGGCAAAAAACATGGAAACATAATTACAATCGGGAAAATGCAAGAAAAAAGTGCACCATATTCTGTGGACCCGGCCTTCTTTTTCATTTCAAAAAGACCTACGAGACCAGTATGGTGCTTGTCTCCGGAAAGACTGCCCTTGGAAATTTCTCCGATTTGCAAGACGTCGTAGGCCAGGCCATCATGCAAGCTCTCCAGCACCCAGTCTCGCATCTGATTTGTGCTTGGCTTGGTCGAAAGAACGTGAAGCCGACTCATCTGGTGGAAGGGAGAACGCGTCCCGTATAACTGTTCCAGCTCCAGCAAAAGTTCAACTGCCCGCGCTGAGCTGAGAATGCCCTTTTTGACGGCCAGAGCTTGCGTCACCAAGTTGACGGTGATTTTGCCATCGCTGTCATCCTCCTTGCGGCCGCCCTGCACGGACAGCAGGCCAAGTGTGTGAAGCTCCTGTACCAGCTGCGCCGGCTGCAATTTTGATTTACAGCTGGGCAAACTTTCGCACATAGTCTTGAACTGGTCAATTTCCACAGCAATCTGCATTGCTGTCCTGCTCATGGACTCATGCTCTTGCTTCACCGCTTGTCTCCGATTGAATGCCTCGACCCACACATTGTGGCCTTGCAAAGGGTCCTGTGTCTCCACAAAAGAAGCCGGCACGCTCAGCAACACAGCACGCCACTGTGCTTTCCATTCCTTCCATTGATCCTCGGAGAGCTCATCCTTGCGCCTTGATGGATCCGTGGAAGTTGTGCTTTTTATTGAATGTGATATGGTCTGGATGTGACAAACTAATTTTAAACAAGGTCTTTAAATTCAGACAAGGCACCGAACAGCGTGAGCGCAGGAAGCCACCAGCGAATGCACAATCTCTTCTGGCGACAGCATCTGAAGGTTCTGGGGTTTGGCGCTCAGAGCCGACTTGTCGGCCAGAAGCTCCACCATACGGCCTGTCATGAAAGCTGGTTTTCCGTTCGGGAAGTAAAACTCTCCCATGTCGAGAACTCTGCTCCGGCTCATCGGAATTCCCGGCGTGGGCGACGCCAGGATCTGAACCCAGAACAAGGAAATGCTGCAACGAAAAACTCTATGAATCCCAAGTGCATGCCGAGCCGACTCCAAGTCAAATGGCTCTTGAACCCCAGTCTTGGATCCGTCCAACTCAGACTTGGAGAGCGGCAAAGGCATTTCCTGGTCAATGCCTGGGAACTCCTGCAAAATTGTCTGGAGGTCCGCCTCTACCAGAGCATAGTAGCCAGCATTCGTTGGGTCTGGAGTCGCAGCTGCAGCCGTGGCTGACTCAGCTGCAGCCGTGGCTGACTGAGTTGCAGCCGACGACGAAGTCTTTTTGCTTGCCTTGGGACCCGTGGATCCAGGCTTGGCAGAAATCGCCGCAGCAGACTTCTTACGCTCTTCGCAGGCCACAGCCTTCTTGGTCTGAAGCTCCTTCTTCACCACCGCTTCTTCCTCTCCTTTCTTAACCCTTTCAGCGAGCTCGTTCATTTCAGCCTTATTCAAGCGCCATGCGGAAATGTTCCGAATCTCAGAGGCTGCTACGGTCATTGCAGTGGCCAGCAACTTGGACAGTGTCTGTCAAGCACTTCCTGTCAGTTCCTACAAAAACACTTTGTGCCGACAGTGGCAAACAATGGGCATGGCTGTCACAGAGGGAATCGAAATGCAGCAGGTGGGACAGGATATGATGTGCAACAGTGATGATAAAATCGTAAATGCCAAAGTTAATAATATGAACCATTATCCTATCATCAATTATATCATGAAGACGAGTGAGTAAGGACACTGGGCGTGCTACCGCTAAACGTCGCGCTGCTTACCCGGGTCTGGCCTGGGCTGGGATCTTGGGTAAGACAAGTGGGCAACGCTCTGTTACGCTCCAACGGGCATGAGTAGAGGAACTGGGGAAATCCCAGTCTCCTTACCCGGGTCTGGCCTGGGCTGGGAGTGGGTAAGGATAGTGGTAAAACTTGCGTGCGTGATGGGGCGGCGATTGTCCCAGTATGCTTAACACATTCCCTACTATCCTTACCCGGGTCTGGCCTGGGCTGGGAGTGGGTAAGGGAACTGGGGAAATCCCAGTCTCCTTACTCGCCTCCGTTGATGCGGCCGCCAAAAAAAGCACTGACGAGGTTCATTTTAAACCTGGTCCCGCCCAGGCTGTTCCGTCGAACAAACGGTCACTCAGCGTTGCAGCGTCCGGACCATTGGCAACTAATCTCCAATGATCTTCCTGTGCACTGAATTGAACTAAGCGAGAGTGTGTCAAGCCTTTCATCAACACACTTGCCAGGACATTGATGCTCATTGCATCGCCAAGGCTTGCATCCACTGTGCGCGCAGGAAGCTTGTGTTCCTCAGCTGCCCTTTGCATGGCTCTGACAACCTTCTTTGGAACTCCTTGTAATGCACCAGCTTCCTCAAGCAGCAAGCGCCGCCTCAGTTTTGGGATATAATATCCTCCTTGTCCCAAGCGCGTGTGCGTCAAGCACGGTGCGCAGTTTGTCATCGCTGCTTGAAATTTTTCCGAAGATCCTACGTCGAGAACATATCCCTTACGCCACATCTTGCTACCTAAAAGTTCTTCGTACCTCGGTAGCTGCAACACCTCGGAGCCGGTCTTGTCCTTTTGGATGAAATGGTGTAAGTCAACCTTCTCTGACCGCTTCTCCGGTAACTTCACTGTTCCAGCGCAAATCTCCTTGGCCACCGCGAGGATGTAGACTCGGGGGCGCGATTGCGGTATGGCGAAGTCCTGGGTACTCAAGACTTGGTGGTCGAACACATAGTCGAGCTTGTTCAAAATTTTGAGAATGTAATTCCAAATTTGCGAATGCTTCTTCTCGAGTATGGCTTTGACTTGTTCCAACACGACCACCTTGGGTCTGCACAAAGCCACATATTCCAACCCTTTCAGGGTCAAAAGACCCCGCTGGTCAGAGACGCCTTGGCGTTTTCCTAACTTGGAGTACGACGGGCACGGATAGCCAGCGACGTAAACGTCGGCTGTTTTCATGCTTTCTTCTTTCCGTAGAAACATGTCAATGACCTGGTGTCGTAGTTCCAGCCACATTCTTGGGCGACAGCTTGGTGCAACAACACCTTCTGTCGGCTGACCTCTGACATCATGACGGGCTGCACTTGGCTTTGCAGCCCCAGAAGCCTGTATGCTATCAGGTCCGAGCCGTGGCCCGAACAGTCTGATGCAGTGTGAATCACTCTCTGTTTCTTTGAAGCCTTGTGCCTGCCCAATCGAGTGAGCCAGTTGGACGCCAAGGCGTTAACCCGCTCCAGTTGCGAGCGTAGCACCTCCTTGCTCACTACGACAACTTTCTTCTGAAGTGTCCGTTTTGGAACATGGCTCTTGAGAGGAGGCGCTTTGCCGGAAGACGGGCTCGACTTGCCTTTTGTCATTTTCTGTTTGAATTGAAAACTCCGCGGAAAAAGAAATGCAATGCAACAGCGCGAGGGATTACTGACTACTAACTGCTCTACTCATGAATAATAATGAAACTGTCAGCCATGGCTTAAAATCGACGATCGACAAAGTCTGTTTTGTCTGTCAATGAAATAAACCGACGGGAGAACACAGTCAAGCCAATCATTGAATCTGGAAATTCAATCTTCGTCAACAACTCAGTCAGAGCTGCAGCTTCAGTTTTCACTCAACGCTTTTCAGTGGTCTCTGTCGACACTGTTCCAAAACTCGTAGGCCTCATTTTGTCAGAGGCGAGACTGACTAATCTACGGCCTACGTCATCAACCTTCACTGCAAAACCGACACGTCCGTAGACGCGGTAATTAGCCCAAGAAGTCATTAAGCCGTAGCCGTAGCTTATTTTATTTTTCCTCGTGAGCTTCAACCGAAACTTCCTGCGAATCCGTTTCTGGCTTGGGCAGCAAAACGCTTTCAAACACCGCAGGTGCATGCGCGTGGGCTGCCTCTGCCACTCGCCAGGATTCATCAAGAGTAAAAGGTTCCTCCACCGCAGCCTTAGCTGCAGAGGCCGGACTTGTGTTAGCCCCCTCGGTTCCTGAATCGCCCGCAGGCTTCTTTCCTTGTGACCCCTCAGTGATGTCAGGCTGAAGCACCGGCTGGGGTATGTCTTGCGCGAGGCCACGGGCCAATCTGTTCATGAAGTCGAAGGAGCGATCCGTGATTCTCCTGAGCCCATTTTGAATTCGATCGACCTCCTGCTGCTCCAGGCCAAGTTCCTGGATAAATGTAGGGTTGTCTTGTAGTCGGTCAGTGAGGTCGTCGAACAACACGACCGCCTCCCTACTTTCACAGGCAAGGAAACACGCCTCTTGGTATGTTTGCACCCTATCCATGGCCGAGTTGTTCTGCGGTCTGTTGTGTACCGGGCTGAGAAGCAAAAGCTGCAGACGTGGATTGTTACAGCGGCAGGTAGATCAGGCAGGAAAGATGGCGGGAATCGTCCACAAATTGAGCGATTAAATCTATGTCCTCCATGCGGTGTTATACAGTATCACCTATTATTATTATTATACCAACCCGGGTGTCATGCCCACATGGATCCAATGAAAAATATGATATCAGAGCCAGAAGAGAAAATCTATAGTATAGGCAAGATGGTGGCTGTGATGTAAAATGATTTCCGGAAAACTGTCCCCATGAAAAAAGGGATAGGTTTCCGATAATACCCTTTTTATTGTCTTATATAGTCCTCATGTCTGTCGTGTATGCTGTCAACATTGACGATCTCTGACAGGCAACTGTGACTGATTGACATGTTTGTTTCCATGTGTTTTGCGCCTTGGCCGACCACAATGGAACTCCCAAAGAATTTACTTCGTACCTAGTATTAAAACCGAAAACAAACATCCTCTTGGAATTTTTGATACGGGCATTCATTCAATGCATGGCCTCTGCTTCTCGGGTTTGCAATTTAGACCGACACTGCTCTGCATGCGTGCTTTCCACACATGTCGTTTTTTCCCGCAAGCATCCCCTGTTGCAGGATCGTTCTCAAGCAGCTGCTATCTTCACACGGGAGCTTGCCGTCTTGTTGAGACAAGTTGCCGTGAGCCAACGCAAAAAATCGGTGACAGTAAAACACTTCACCCTGGTTTTGTTGAAACCAGCTGGGATGGCCTCCCCCGCACCCCTGAGATGGAGACTGGGCTTTCGCCCGCGGCCTTTCAAATCTTCCGCCCTCACTGCCTGCCACCCACGGGCACATGCCTCACGTAGCAGTAGAGTCATTCCTGGCTCTTCGGCCTTGAAAGTGTCAGTCACGAAGATTGCAACTTGTATCTCCTGACCCGGGTGAAACGTCAACTTCACACCTCCTGCTCCAAGCAAAGCAGAAGCTGACATCAAGACGGATCCACTCAGAGCAGCCATGAAACGCACTTTTCTTTGCACCCTAACGAAGTTTGAGACCACGAAGAGCTTGGCTTGCCGCAGGTCCTGGACATGGGTAGTAAGATGCAGATGCTTGGCAGGAACAAAACAAAAACAAACGTGCAAATCAATGGCAGGCAATTCACCAACAAAGGATTCCCCCAGGCTCCTGAGTTCTCGTCGCAACCCCATGTGCCGTCAAAGATTGAGACACTGCTTGCGCCTTGCCGCCTTCCATCTTGGAGCAACACCACGCTGGGCCACTGAGACCTTGGCAGGCCCACTGATGCCTTTTCTTCGTGGAGGTCAATTTACCGGACACTTCGTATGCCTGTCTTTTTTTCCTGAGACCATCTCCTTGTCGGTTTGCTTTGGTCAGTCGCAAGGCCTCTTCCTGAACCTCTTGGGTGACCTCATCCGGCAACAAACAGCCATCTGCCAGAGCCTCAGCCTTTCGTTTCAAACCCTGTTTTCTCTGGAAATTTCTTTCCTTCTGGGAAGATTCTGTCAACAGCTCGGAAGGTTTCCGAGGAGGTGTTTCGCATTTTTGCACTGCTTCCAGCAATGCTTTCTTTCTTGTGCGGTTCCAGTCGGCAAAAGATCCGGTCTTCACTTTGCCTGTGACACCACAATCGAACCTTGGTTTTGTCCGCGGCCGGGACCTTCCACTGGACAGTAGGGAAGCGTAGATTCGTCGAGCGGCTTGAATCACTTCAGGTTGCACTGCTGGGCTCCTGGCCTGCCCATCGCCCATGACAATTGCAAGGCGACGGTCTGTGTCCACAGAAGCGTTGGAAAGTTCCACAGGACTTCTCCTGAGCTTCGAGAATTGTTGCTCCACTCCACTTGTGGCTGCGGTCCAACATTGATAAGCTGCCATGACTTGTATCAGGGCCGTGGCCTCATACTTCCTTCCCTGGGCACCTTTCCGACTGCTTGTCCGTTGAAGGGCTTCCCTCCATGCTTCTCTGTTACTCAAACCTGCTTGCTTCTTCAAAGCTGCAGCAATGGGCAGCAAGCGGGCATACTCTTGCTTCAGTGCCTCAAAAGGTACCGAATACACTTGAGCCAGCCTCTCCAAGTTCCGTAAAACATCCGCACTGCAGTCACGGCCTCTTACGCAGTCAGACAAATGAAAAACTTGAAATGCCGCCGCCAAGTGCCAACTCGGAAACTCATGCGCGACGACTTCCTCCACGAGAGACACCCATTCCTGCAGCCGGCTGCAACGACGACAAGATATGATACAGTCAAATTTAATGGCAAACTGACACAGCCCCCCCCATGGAAAAGCTAGGCTAAGCACCGGGGTCCTCCATGACTGCAAAAGCCCTGTCCAAGTCTCGGTTCGAAACTTGGATGTCCAACGCAAACCCATCCTGAAGAATGGTCACGGGAATTCTTCTATCTAAGAATTCTTTCGTGAAAGTGGGTAGTGTCAACACCTTCCGGTCAACGAAGAGAGACCTTGCCGAGAGGACAAAATGGCTGGCTCGTAAATTCAAATCAGCAACATCAATGTCTTCACGGTCGCATTCCCTTGTGTAGTCGTTGCTGATAGCTGCAGCGTCGGTAATCATTGCAAGCAAAGCTGCTTTGAACGAACTGAAATTTTGGCAAAGCTTGGTTGCCCAAGTTGCCTCAGCACCTCGCATGGCTTGGACCCTGCCGCACACATTGAAAGCTGCTTGCAAATTCCGAATTATCCGGCTGAGAGGATTCAAGTATGACGAGAACCTGTGCTTCGCCGCAGACATGGAGGTGCAAAGGTTTCCAGTCAAGTCAGAGTCCTCTTTGCATTGGACGGCCTTGGCCCACCATTGGCTGAGGATGTGGCTGTGGTGCACCTTCTGAGCGAAGCTTTCGGACCCATGGATCCATTCGTTTGTCAAACTTTTGACAGGTTCCAATGCAAGGAATGGTCTCTTCAAGAGACGGGTCGATGCATGCGCCGCATCTCTGCCGACGATCTTGCAATTTGTAAATTTGGATTGAAAGTCGGTCGCGGCCCTACGGCGCCCTCTCTCTAAGTCACCTGCTAAAAGTTCGGATGCAGCAGCGTCACTGGCCACCATGGTGACCCTGTCCTGAATCTTCCGTAGAAGTTCAGAGTCGACCGGCTGCTCGCTTTCCTTGGCTTGTCTGGGAGGCTGCCGCATCGGTTGGCAGAAGTTCTGCATGATTTCAGCAGTTGCTTCAGCTATGGACTCAGCAGAACCTGTCACAGGCTGCAAGCCAAGCGCGCCACTGATGGTGGTTAGGTCCGGTAGAACAGCGCGGAAGCGCACAAGAAGATTTCCTTTGCGTTCGTCTCTCATCAATGAGATGCAGCGAGACTCTGCCAGCAAAGTCCTGTTGCGAGCACAAACTGCTTCCGAGAGGGCATACCGCACTTGAGTTTTTTTATCGGACGATCCGCCACCTTGTCTCGCAGATTGTCCTTGCGTCATACCCTGCAAACTTGACTTAAAAGCCTCGTCGCTAGGGGCTCCGCAAAGATCATCTTGGCTTGCTGTCATGTGTCCCTTGGACTTCTCATGCCTCTCCAAGTTGTGTTTCTTCAACACGGAAGTCGGAGGTTGTTCAAAGTTGGCCCATGGGCCCTCCAGACCGGCTTTCGCGCATAAGCTGCAGCCGAGCTTGGATTCTCCATCGACCAGAAGCACTCTCAGCCATGGTTTTTTGTAAAGTGACCATGACTGCTGCACGGCGCACAAGCTGCACTTGTGCACTCCTCGCTTGCAAGTCTGAGTGTGTTCAGTGACCAACTTACCTGGAACCAAGTGCTTCAACTTGTCGCGAGAATCTCCCATGGCGCGAAGAAGGAAACCCCTGGAGAGCGAAGAACTTATTGTATTCATTGTATTGATAGAATCTGATGATAGTCATAGTACTTTAAGGCTTACTTAAGATGCATTCAATGTGATTGACAGTATTGGAGCTTTGAATTGAAAGATGCGGAAATCTTCAAATTTTTGATCATACCTTAGATGTTTTAAGGTGCGTGTTTCAAAACCCTGCGGCCGCTGACGGCAACACGCAGAAAGAGTCACAATTCAATGCAATGCTTTCGCCCCTCGAAATGAAGAAATCAAGCAACTACGACAGTAGTGGCTGGCAGTAGTGGCTGGCGGCGCGACATCGACTCTTCTTATTTTCTGAATTAATAATAAGTCAAGCAGCACCCGCGGCAGCAGCAATTGCTCAGATGATGTGAGCTGACTTGACACACACATGTCCGTAGACAGTGACATTTAAAATTGTCCGCAGACACTCCCCACGGCATGTGTCCGTAGAGTCCGTAGACTAAGATTTTCCTGTCCGTAGACCAGAACCAATGATGTGTCCGTAGACCCGCAAGTCAGTCCGTAGACTATGATTTTCCTGTCCTTAGACCAGAACCAATGATGTGTCCGTAGACCAAGTCAGTCCGTAGACTATGATTTTCCTGTCCTTAGACCAGAACCAATGATGTGTCCGTAGACCCGCAAGTCAGTCCGTAGACTATGACTTTCCTCTCCATAAGATGAAGTGCAGATCTGTTACTTTGTTCGTGGACAATCATAAAGATTCATTCAATGCGGTCCGTGGACTCGAGGATCAAAAAATGATCAGACCTAGTCCGCAGACAACTCCGTATTTAAGATGTCCTTCAATATTATTCCTCGCGGGTGAAAGACAAAACAGCATTTCCATGGCAAGGTAAACAGACTGCAGATGCGATGGCAAAACGATTTTGAGCAAAAAATAACTCTGCTAGGGCGCTCGGCTGTGGAAGTTGACCAAGGGCTTACAATAACAATTTTACAAGTGGATTTATCACGACTAAGCTCACATATAATTTACACACCATTAACAAAAAATATATATATATATATAATCATGGAACTTGAAACTTATTATATACAACACCTGTATGGGGTATCCAACCTTACTATGTTTTCCCTTTGTAGGCATTCTATGGATATCAACTGGAACGCTGGGCAACACTGTTCCCCTGATCACTTACATTGAAATAATGACGAGGTGGATGCTTTGAGACAACCATAGGAACAAGAGGACCCATGCCAACCAGATCTGTTCACGCATGGAGTGAATGACTCAGTGGTCAGGTGGAATGTTTTATTATAGATAACCAAAACCAAAATAAAACTGGTCACACTGTCAAAGAGCTTAATACCTTGGCATTAGTGGTGGTGGAATAGTTTCAGTGACAGACTGGATGCATACTTGAACACATCACACACACTTCACTTAGCAACAAAAAAGACACCAAGAGCAACCAAGCTACTGCTAAACAACGCTAAGGGGAGCCGTGTTTTACTGTTTGTAATTTAGCACAGTTGCCAATAGCATTCTGGATCTCAGATCAACTGCTTTTCGTTTCGCCGTCTGTTTCACTCTCTTTGGAAGATGGGGAGTAACGTTGACACCTCAACGGAAGTTGCAAAGGTCGATACGGTGGCTGAAGCTCCGGATGCCGCAAATGTGACGGCAGATAGCTCAAGGGCGCCGGGAACTGGAGAAGCCGTGCCCTATGGAGTGCCTGGAGCAACACCCACGCATGTGGGAGGTGTTGCATCTCCAAAAGCTTCGCCGAAGCCGTCTCCTCGTGATGAAGCGGCAAGTTTGCCGAGCTCAGATGAGGAAGCTGCGAATCCAGCTGACAAACGTGCAGCTGAAACTGGTGATGAGCCGCCGGCAAAGAAGAGCCGACTTCGTAAGGAAATTCATGGATTGGTGAAGGTTGTGAAAGACGTTGTGATTGGCCTCACCGCCTCGACGTCCACTTTGGACAGTACCAATGAGAGTTTGCAACAGGCCAAGAAGGACATAGATGCTCTCTGCATTCAGTTAGGAGTGGACCAAGTGTCCGCCAAGTACTTCCTAGCATCAATGCAGCAGCACTCGACGGCCATGAACAATATCAGCTGGCAGGTGACTGGGAACAAATCCCAAGTCAATCCAACGCTGAAAGAGCTTTGTCGTGACTTGAACGAAAAGATCAATACAGGAAACAGGAGGTTGGATGAGATCAAGCAAGAAAGACGCTCGCAGCATGAACAATCACTGCAGTATCTGAAAGGCATCGAATCGGCAGTAGACAGGATGGTGACTGCGTTGTCGCAGTTGAATGTTGTGACTGCTGCTCCGATGGCACCAACAACAGCTCCTGTGGGACCGGGTGTGGCATCAACTGGAGTTCCTGTGGGGCCGAGTGTTGCAGCTCCGGGGGTTCCTGTGGGACCTACTGCAACGGGAACACCTTCAGCAGTGGGTACTGCTACCCATGGAGTTGCTGGCACGATGAATCCTCCCCTGGCACCGCCACCAATGGGGACCCCGACAACTCCAGGAATTGCAGCCCCTCCAGGGCCGAGCTTTCCACCTGTAGCACCTGCAGTGCCAGCAGCACCCTTTGTGCAGCGCGCAGGGCGCATTCGCCTGCGCACCCAGGACGGGACGGAAATCGTACGGGCTGTTTCGCCCAACCCTGCTCGTCGAGAGGCAATCCCGGCGGGGTGGGCGGAGGAGTACGGCATGGGAACCATCCCGTTAGGACAGTTGGTATATCGAGTGATTTCTGATGAATTCATTCGAACGGCGGTCCCACTCAATTAGCCTGAGACTGCCGAGATCTATGTGAAATGAAGCTGGTTTTGGAAGGAGCGATGAGCCTGAGAGTCCTTCCCTGTAGCATGGTCACATAGATCATTTTGAGATTTTTTGGATTTCAAAGTAAAGCTCAGCACTTGCCTGGCAGCTTGTGAAAGAATAGCTCTATGAGCTCGAGGTTCATTCCAAGCAGCATCAGTGTTCGATGAGCTTTGAAAAAGGAGAGATGGGATCTGCTGGGCAATCAGTTGCATGGGAGTGGATTCACTGTCGATGTTTGCAGTTGCACTTTCATGTACTTTGGTTTGCAGTTTTCATTTCGTTTTCTTGACAGCAATCCTTGTACAGAGCTGGAGCCGTCTAGTAAGCTGGAGCCGTTAGGAGTAGGATAGGGTTTTGCAGATGTCCAGTTTTGCAGTTTGCATGGATGTTCATGTCACTGTGTTGCAGTTTGATGTCATCAGGTTTAACTGCTGTTATCTGTTTTGATGTCAGTTGTAACTAGTTGGACACTTGTGGACTCATTGGACGGTTTTTGCAACTCCTCTGTCGTTTGTTGTTGTTCTTTGTTCTGTACTAAGGTACTTGTATGATCCAATGATGTAGCTGCCAAGGGGTCATGAGAAAGATGGCAATGCCATATGAAATACCCCTGCAGCTGAGGATCATAACATAACATGTTTGTTTGTTCCATGTTCTTGGAACTTGATTGGAGTTGTCTTGAACTTGAACTGTTTTTGGACTCTTCCTGAACGTTCTGTCCTTGTGCGTTGCAGTGGGTTTCCTGTTGTGGACCTTCTCCATGGATCGTTGGTCACTGTTGGTTTGGCTTTATCTTCTGAAGGGTTTGAACCCCAGTGCACAACATGTTGGATTTGGGAGGGTCTCCATAACTGGATGTCCAGCGCTTAGCAAAGACCATCCAGAGTTTTAGGACTCTTGGATACTCTGTGGAATGCTTAGCACTGCTGCCTCTGTTCAGCGCTCAATGCATTCAGCTCAGCTACCAAGACTTTGCCATACAAAGTTGGGCTGATAACCAAGGAAGTTGTAGAGGTCTGCAACTGCCAAGTTACAGGGTTTAGAAGCCAAGGTTCCAAGAGACGTGAAACCGTTGCAAAGCATTTGGAAAAATGGGTTTGAAAAACATGTTTCAGTTTGTTTTGGATTATGGTTGAATGATCCTAGTTTGAGGGGTTAGGGTTCCCAAGGCCATTAGTCAGAGACCTGGACACTTGGTACCCGTTGGGGTCTATCCCAATACCCAAAAAGAACTGGACACCAAGGCCATACCCAGAGGACAGACCTTGGCACCAGTTTCCCCTTACTTAGATGAGGATGATGACAAACGTGAGACAGTTTCAAATACCAAGGTTTCCAAATGACAAACGTTTTCAAACAAAACTTTGTGCAGAAGTTGTGAACTCAGTTTCAAAGTTGTGGGTTACTCAGAAAGATGGTTATGGGGTATGGTTTGTTGGTCTCCTTGTGCACCGCTGCCACTGCCCTATGATGATCAAAAGATGGAGCCAAAGAGACTCGTTTCTCATAAAACATCCATCTATCTGAGGGCACCATTAAAACACAGGACCACTTCGAGTTTTCTGTGCGCCAGTTCCTAGCTTAGTTGATGAGCATGGATCTTAGTTGGTGATGTCTGGATCTTAGTTGTGTGGGTTCAGAACTTAGTTGCCTTACAAACGGTATGGTAGTCTAAAGGTACTTCGGTATACAGCACTACTGTCCAAGAAGGGGTGTGAAAGTTTGGTGAGAGGATGTACAGTGTACTGAACCACCTTGAACCTACTTGAACATCTTTAAACCTATCTTGGAACAATGCATGTGCATGTGAACATTTAGGAAACCATTTTAAGTTTGTAGGAACCGATCTGTGAACTATAGAACCCATAGGAACCTATAGGAACCAGGTAGGAACCAATTTGGAACCAAATGGAACCAGTTTGTGCATGGAAGAGCTTGGAGATGGATTTTTCGTTTGTTTTTGTGGTTTTTGGTGTTTTTGGATGTTGTTTGACCCATGTCTTAGGAACTTGATGTTGTGAACTTATTTGGTAGGAGTTTTGTAGGTTATTTGTGAGTTTGAGCTGAAGACGTTTTATTTGGAGAAGCTGGAAGAACGTTTTTGAAGCTTGAGAACTCTTTTGAAGTAGTTTGAGAAGTTTGAAGACGTTTGAGT